CTCACTCACAAGTACACATGCAAACATAGTTCAACTGCCAAAGTATCTGTGTGTGTGTGTTTGTGTGTGTGTGTGTGTGTTCCAGCACGAAGCGAAGATCCGCTCTCTGACTGAATACATGCAGAATGTGGAACTCAAGAAAAGACAACTAGAAGAAAACTACGACTGTCTGAGCGAAGAGCTCGCTAAACTACAGACCGCAGGTACACACACACACACACACACACACACACTCAGAGACCGAGAGAGAGCTGTGCTCATGTCAACTGCTCATATCACAGGTCAGAACACACACACACACACACACACAGATTTTACTGTCATTTTGAACAGTTATAAAAATAATATTTTAATAACAGTGGTAGATATAGACACTTTTATTTTCAAATTTCTTGTATTTTTATATAAACTGTTATATTTAGTTTTATCTGTGTCTGCAGACGCTCAGGAGAATCCGCTGGACAACGACGAGTCTGGGAACGTGAAGGTAGTGTTTGTTTGTCAGCGTTTGATTTATTGCTAGAAAGTTCTCGATTCTGCTGTGCTAAAGTTCATACGGTGAGGATGTTTATTAATATGGCGCTATATAACTATGTGTGTGTGTGTGTGTGTGTGTGTTATTCTCAGAAAGCAGAGGTTCAGCGTGAGCCGAAACACAAGACGCTCGGACGCCTGCGCGACGACATCAACCACAAACAGAAGATCATCGACGAGCTCAAAGAGTCAGAAACACTCGCTAACTACAACATTAGCAATCAACAGCACATCTCCTTAATAAATCACACTTATATTATACCATATTCACAGAGAAAACAGCTGTTGTATTTGTTGTAATAACTACAGTCTTACAGTGTTTATTAATCTGTTAACATTAGTCTGACAATTATATTTTATTACATTTTATTCATTGTATTTGCCAAAAATATGCATTATCACTTTAAAATGTATAATACAATTTTGATAAATGTCATGATATATAATGTTACCGTGCTATATTGATGATTCCACAAACCATGAAATAAATATTAAGATTTAAATATGAAAGCATGTATAAAAATGAATTTATTAAATTACTATTATAATTATAATACTTTAAATATGTTTCGTAATATGTAAATTAAATATTTAAATAATTTACTAAATTGCTAAATATGAAAAGTAAAATAATATTATACAACATATTTTATAATAAAAAATAAATACAATATTAAATGTTATGATTGTATACATTTTTATAAATAATAAATTATTTATTAAATAATATTCTTAAAAATATTATCAAATATGATTAGTAATGCATCAAATATATGTAATAACCTATTGATAATATTATAAATGAATAAATATTATAAATGTAATATTTTACAATTTTATAAATCATTTATTAAATTACTAAAATATTTTTAAATATGATCAGTAATACATTAAATAGCTTTAATAACATGTATAAGACATTTATAATTGTAAATATAAGTATTATATTAATACATATTTATAATTTTATAAATAATGTATTAAATTACTAAAAATATTTTTAAATATGATAAGTAATGCATTAAATATATTAATAATGTTTTAATAAGTTAATAATATCCTTTATATAATATTAACAGATACACCTTTTGATATTAATCAATGCTAAAAATACCATTAATGTAGATTAATAAATGCTTTAGAAATATATTTCATTGTTAGTTCATGTCAACTAATGTTGTTAACAAATGAAACTTTATTGTAAAATGTTACTTAAACACTTTAAAACTGTATTTCTTTATACTGGGAATTTAATTCTGTATTTTTAAAATGAACATTTTACATGTGTATATTTAATATTTTATGTTTGACTGTCTGTAAAAACCCTCTCAATAATCCGCTGTGTGTGTGTGTGTGTGTGTGTGTTTTCAGTGATAATCAGAGGCTGAACCTGCGTCTGGATCAGATGAGTGTCGAGTTCAGCGTTTTGAAGAACCGAGAGCGAGAGAAATCCAGACAGCTGGAGGAGCTCAGGTGAGTCTCTCACACACACACACACACAACACACACACACACACACACACACACACACACACACACACACTTCAGTGAGGAGAGAATGACAGGAGAAATCCAGACAGCTGGAGGAGCTCAGGTGAGACACACACACACACACAACACACACACACACACACACACACACACACACACACACACACACACACACACACTTCAGTGAGGAGAGAATGACAGGAGAAATCCAGACAGCTGGAGGAGCTCAGGTGAGTCTCTCTCACACACACACACACACACACACACACACAGTGAGGAGAGAATGACATCACGTCTCATACACTGCTATATCTGCAGATATCTTCATGAACGACAGGAGCAAACCAAGCAGGACATGAAGGGTTTGGAGGAGACGGTTGTGAGTATCTGCACTTCTTACAGGAGTATAGTCAAGTGTGTCTGAACGTAAGGTTTTTGGACACTTTATTGCATATTATTTACAAACAAAATGGAAATATAGTATAGTTTAAAGGGATAGTTCACCCCAAAATGTAAACTCTGTCAGTAATTACTCTCCCTCATGTTGTTCAACCCCGTAAGACTTTCGTTCATCTTCGGGACACAAATTAAGATATTTTTGATTAAATCTGAGAGCTGGATCACTCCTCCATAGGCTTCTAAGGGATCGAAACTGGCCGGCCCAGAAAGTTAGTAAAGACATCGTTAAAATAGTCCGAGTGACTACAGTGGCTCAACCTTAAGTTTATCAAGCGACGAGAATACTTTGTGCGCAAAAAACAAGAAAAATAACGACTTTATTCAACTATTCATATCCTTCTGTGTTGTATGTCAGAACGTAGGCTCACTATTGGCCGACGCTGGTCATGTGTGTGATGCTGGCCAATAGTGAGGCTACGTTCTGACGTACAACCCAGAAGAAGATGAATAGTTGAATAAAGTCGTTATTTTTGTTTGTTTTTTTGCGCACAGAAAGTATTCTCGTCGCTTGATAAACTTAAGGTTGAGCCACTGTAGTCACTCGGACGATGTCTTTACTAACTTGTTAAAACATAATTGATAATAATCATATTGTTTCTTGAGCATCAGATCATCATATTAGAGTGATTTCTGAAGGATCATGTGACACTGAAGACTGGAGTAATGATGCTGAAAAATCAGCTTTGATCACAGGAATAAATTACACTTTACTGTATATTCACATAGAAAAACAGCTGATTTACATTATTATAATATTTCACAATTTTTACTGTTTTTTGTTTGTATTTTTAATCAAATAAACACAGCCTTGGTGAGCAGAAGAGACTTTTTTTTAAAAACATAAAAAATCTTACCGATCCAAAGGTTTTGACTGGTCGTGTACTTTTATGATTTGAAGTGCACTTTTTTTCACAAGGGTTTCATACTGGAGTAGAATATTATGATTATGATTATGATATATGTGTGAGATGTTTGACACTCCTGTGTGTTTGTGTTGAAAGGCTCGTGAACTGCAGACTCTCCACAATCTGAGGAAGCTGTTCGTTCAAGATCTCACGGCTCGAGTGAAACGGGTGCGTTTCTTCAAAGCTCATGGAAAATGTCATGAAAAATTAATTTTTGGCTGATTTTAGCACACAAAAACTTTACACCAAGTTCCTAAGGAGCCCATAAAGGGACATGAAGGAAAAAAATGAGAATGGAGGAACAATTATTTGTCAATGCTTTACACATCTGTACACACACAACTGTACACGCACACACCTGTACGCACGCACACACCTGTACACACACATCTGCACACACACACTTCTGCACACACACATCTGTGCACACACACACACACACACACATCTGTACACACATCTGTACGTACACACACATCTGTACACACACACACATCTGTGCACACACACACATCTGTACACACATCTACACACACACACACCTTTACACACACCTGTACCCACACACATCTGTACACACACACACACATCTGTACACACACACACACATCTGTACACACACACTTGTACACACACATCTGTACACACACACCTACCTGTACACACACACACACACACCTGTACACACACATCTGTACACACACTTGTAGACACACACACCTGTACACACACATCTGCAGACATAAAGAAGAGTCTCGGCTAGTAGGCTGTGAGTGTGAGGATGCTGGAGGAGATTTATAGCCTTTTCTCACAACACTGGATATAATTAAACTTATTAATTTGATGGCGGATCCAGAAAGGTTCAAACAACGATCACCAGCTGGAGACTCACCCGCTGTAACCGGAGACTCACCCGCTGTAACCGGAGACTCACCCGCTGTAACCGGAGACTCACCCACTGTAACCGGAGACTCACCCGCTGTAACCGGAGACTCACCCGCTGTAACCGGAGACTCACCCGCTGTAACCGGAGACTCACCCACTGTAACCGGAGACTCACCCACTGTAACCGGAGACTCACCCGCTGTAACCGGAGACTCACCCGCTGTAACCGGAGACTCACCCGCTGTAACCGGAGACTCACCCGCTGCAACCGGAGACTCACCCGCTGCAACCGGAGACTCACCCTCTGTAACCGGAGACTCACCCGCTGCAACCGGAGACTCACCCGCTGCAACCGGAGACTCACCCTCTGTAACCGGAGACTCACCCGCTGTAACCGGAGACTCACCCGCTGTAACCGGAGACTCACCCGCTGTAACCGGAGACTCACCCACTGTAACCGGAGACTCACCCGCTGTAACCGGAGACTCACCCACTGTAATCGGAGACTCACCCGCTGTAACCGGAGACTCACCCGCTGTAACCGGAGACTCACCCGCTGTAACCGGAGACTCACCCGCTGTAACCGGAGACTCACCCACTGTAACCGGAGACTCACCCACTGCAACCGGAGACTCACCCTCTGTAACCGGAGACTCACCCGCTGTAACCGGAGACTCACCCTCTGTAACCGGAGACTCACCCGCTGCAACCGGAGACTCACCCACTGTAACCGGAGACTCACCCGCTGTAACCGGAGACTCACCCGCTGTAACCGGAGACTCACCCACTGCAACCGGAGACTCACCCTCTGTAACCGGAGACTCACCCGCTGTAACCGGAGACTCACCCACTGCAACCGGAGACTCACCCGCTGTAACCGGAGACTCACCCACTGTAACCGGAGACTCACCCTCTGTAACCGGAGACTCACCCGCTGTAACCGGAGACTCACCCGCTGTAACCGGAGACTCACCCTCTGTAACCGGAGACTCACCCGCTGTAACCGGAGACTCACCCTCTGTAACCGGAGACTCACCCGCTGTAACCGGAGACTCACCCGCTGTAACCGGAGACTCACCCTCTGTAACCGGAGACTCACCCGCTGCAACCGGAGACTCACCCACTGTAACCGGAGACTCACCCGCTGTAACCGGAGACTCACCCGCTGTAACCGGAGACTCACCCGCTGTAACCGGAGACTCACCCGCTGTAACCGGAGACTCACCCGCTGTAACCGGAGACTCACCCGCTGTAACCGGAGACTCACCCGCTGTAACCGGAGACTCACCCGCTGTAACCGGAGACTCACCCGCTGTAACCGGAGACTCACCCGCTGTAACCGGAGACTCACCCGCTGTAACCGGAGACTCACCCGCTGTAACCGGAGACTCACCCGCTGTAACCGGAGACTCACCCGCTGTAACCGGAGACTCACCCACTGTAACCGAAGACTCACCCACTGTAACCGGAGACTCACCCGCTGTAACCGGAGACTCACCCACTGTAACCGGAGACTCACCCGCTGTAACCGGAGACTCACCCGCTGTAACCGGAGACTCACCCGCTGTAACCGGAGACTCACCCGCTGTAACCGGAGACTCACCCGCTGTAACCGGAGACTTACCCGCTGTAACCGGAGACTCACCCGCTGTAACCGGAGACTCACCCGCTGTAACCGGAGACTTACCCGCTGTAACCGGAGACTCACCCGCTGTTGTGTTCATCCGTGTTCATTGTGTTCATCCGGGCTGTGCCGTGCCGAGGCACAACCCACGTAAAGCTGATCATTCCGCGAATGACTGCAATTGCAGATTTCAAACAGAGATGACGACAAAGAGGAAAAACAGCGGACTGCAGCTTTAATAATGTCCTTATTATATCTATATGAATCTGTGTGTGTGTTTCAGAGCTCTGAGTTGGTCTATATGAATCTCTGTGTGTGTGTGTGTGTGTGTGTGTGTGTGTGTGTGTGTGTGTGTGTGTGTGTGTGTGTGTGTGTGTGTGTGTGTGTGTGTGTGTGTGTGTGTTTCAGAGCTCTGAGTTGGTCTATATGAATCTGTGTACGTGTTTCAGAGCTCTGAGTTGGTCTATATGAATCTCTGTGTGTGTGTGTGTGTGTGTTTCAGAGCTCTGAGTTGGTTTATATTAATCTGTGTGTGTGTGTGTGTTTCAGAGCTCTGAGTTGGTCTATATGAATCTCTGTGTATGTGTGTGTTTCAGAGCTCTGAGTTGGTTTATATTAATCTGTGTGTGTGTTTCAGAGCTCTGAGTTGGTTTATATTAATCTGTGTGTGTGTTTCAGAGCTCTGAGTTGGTTTATATTAATCTGTGTACGTGTTTCAGAGCTCTGAGTTGGTTTATATTAATCTGTGTACGTGTTTCAGAGCTCTGAGTTGGTCTATATGAATCTCTGTGTGTGTGTGTGTGTGTGTGTGTGTGTGTGTGTGTGTGTGTGTGTGTGTGTGTGTGTGTGTGTGTGTTTCAGAGCTCTGAGTTGGTCTATATGAATCTGTGTACGTGTTTCAGAGCTCTGAGTTGGTCTATATGAATCTCTGTGTGTGTGTGTTTCAGAGCTCTGAGTTGGTTTATATTAATCTGTGTGTGTGTTTCAGAGCTCTGAGTTGGTTTATATTAATCTGTGTGTGTGTTTCAGAGCTCTGAGTTGGTTTATATTAATCTGTGTACGTGTTTCAGAGCTCTGAGTTGGTCTATATGAATCTCTGTGTGTGTGTGTGTGTGTGTGTGTGTGTGTGTGTGTGTGTGTGTTTCAGAGCTCTGAGTTGGTCTATATGAATCTGTGTACGTGTTTCAGAGCTCTGAGTTGGTCTATATGAATCTCTGTGTGTGTGTGTGTTTCAGAGCTCTGAGTTGGTTTATATTAATCTGTGTGTGTGTTTCAGAGCTCTGAGTTGGTTTATATTAATCTGTGTGTGTGTTTCAGAGCTCTGAGTTGGTTTATATTAATCTGTGTGTGTGTTTCAGAGCTCTGAGTTGGTCTATATGAATCTCTGTGTGTGTGTGTGTGTGTGTGTGTGTGTGTGTGTTTGTTTTTGTGATATATGAGGACACAAATGTGTATAATGACATGCATATTACACTGGTATTACAACTTACACGTGATATATGAGGACATTGCATGAGTCCTCATATTTCAAATAGCTTAAAAAACATAAAAAACAATGTTTTTTTTTAAATGTAAAAATGCAGCATGTCTCCTGTGATGGGTAGGTTTAGGGATAGGGGCAGTGTGTGTGTGTGTGATGGGTAGGTTTAGGGATAGGGGCAGTGTAGGGGGATAGAATATACAGTTTGTCCAGTATAAAAGTCATTACGCCTATGAAATGTCCTCATATATCACAAAAACAAAGCTGTGTGTGTGTGTGTGTGTTTCAGAGCTCTGAGTTGGTTTATATTAATCTGTGTGTGTGTTTCAGAGCTCTGAGTTGGTCTATATGAATCTCTGTGTGTGTGTGTGTGTGTGTTTCAGAGCTCTGAGTTGGTTTATATGAATCTCTGTGTGTGTGTGTGTGTGTGTGTGTGTGTGTGTGTGTGTTTCAGAGCTCTGAGTTGGTCTATATGAATCTGTGTACGTGTTTCAGAGCTCTGAGTTGGTCTATATGAATCTCTGTGTGTGTGTGTGTGTGTGTGTGTGTGTGTGTGTGTGTTTCAGAGCTCTGAGTTGGTCTATATGAATCTGTGTACGTGTTTCAGAGCTCTGAGTTGGTCTATATGAATCTCTGTGTGTGTGTGTGTGTGTTTCAGAGCTCTGAGTTGGTTTATATTAATCTGTGTGTGTGTTTCAGAGCTCTGAGTTGGTTTATATTAATCTGTGTACGTGTTTCAGAGCTCTGAGTTGGTCTATATGAATCTCTGTGTGTGTGTGTGTGTGTGTGTGTGTGTGTGTGTGTGTGTGTGTGTGTGTGTGTGTGTGTGTGTGTGTGTGTGTGTGTTTCAGAGCTCTGAGTTGGTCTATATGAATCTGTGTGTGTGTTTCAGAGCTCTGAGTTGGTCTATATGAATCTCTGTGTGTGTGTGTGTGTGTGTTTCAGAGCTCTGAGTTGGTTTATATTAATCTGTGTGTGTGTGTGTGTTTCAGAGCTCTGAGTTGGTCTATATGAATCTCTGTGTGTGTGTGTGTTTCAGAGCTCTGAGTTGGTTTATATTAATCTGTGTGTGTGTTTCAGAGCTCTGAGTTGGTCTATATGAATCTCTGTGTGTGTGTGTGTGTTTCAGAGCTCTGAGTTGGTTTATATTAATCTGTGTGTGTGTTTCAGAGCTCTGAGTTGGTCTATATGAATCTCTGTGTGTGTGTGTGTTTCAGAGCTCTGAGTTGGTTTATATTAATCTGTGTGTGTGTTTCAGAGCTCTGAGTTGGTTTATATTAATCTGTGTGTGTGTTTCAGAGCTCTGAGTTGGTCTATATGAATCTGTGTGTGTGTTTCAGAGCTCTGAGTTGGTCTATATGAATCTCTGTGTGTGTTTCAGAGCTCTGAGTTGGTCTATATGAATCTGTGTGTGTGTTTCAGAGCTCTGAGTTGGTCTATATGAATCTCTGTGTGTGTTTCAGAGCTCTGAGTTGGTCTATATGAATCTGTGTGTGTGTTTCAGAGCTCTGAGTTGGATTCGGATGAAAGCTGCGGATGTTCAACACAGAAACAGAAGATCTCCTTTCTTGAGAACAACCTGGATCAGCTTACGAAAGTTCACAAACAGGTCAGTAACGAAATGTGCCAGAAATCTCCACCTGACTACAGTTACATTAGAGCAGTCAGTGTTATTTTTTTATTTATTTATTTTATTTTTATTGACGTGACCCATAGGCTATATAGGCCTACATCCATTTACATGCAAACAAGTCAAGCCAAGCATAAGAATACTTATATAAAATGGGGCTCATTTGACTTTATTCTCATTGTAAACATTAGATGACACAAACACTCTCTTAAGTACTTTTTTTAAAGGGGTCATATAATGGTACATGCACTTTTACAAGTTGATTGTACTGAAATGTGTGTTGGCAGTGCCTGTACACAACCATCATATAATGATAAAAATCCATCCAGTGTTTTTGTTTTAATCTCCTTATATGTTTTCCCCTGTCTCAAATCAAGCCGTTCGACCGTGTGACGTCACACGCTCGGAAGCCCCTCCCACGATTGTTGATTGACAGCAGCGTTTCAACACAGACCCGCCCTGAGCGAGCTGTCATCATAGTCCGCTAGTGTTGATACGCTGGAGCACTGTCTATGAGCAGAATGGCGTCTAAGCGATTGTGGTGTTCTGTTCTTGGGTGTAATAACGAACACAGTCATTTTAATGTTCCTAAATCCGAACCGCTGAAGACGCAGTGGCTGAGTTTGTTTTCGAAGGGAATATTCCCCACGAGCAACGTCAATGCTCTCATGTTTGCGCAAATCATTTCACACACCAGACTGCTTTATAAACGAGGGTCAGTATAAAGCTGGATTTGTTAAGAAGCTGCTCATGAAAAAAGGATCGGTACCAGATATTATCTTGGTATACTATATAAGATACTATATCTTGGCCAGGACTTCCTGGGAGAAGAGTTACTGTAACTCAATGGGACTATTCCTGGTTAAATAAAGGTTAAATAAAAAAAAATAAAAAAAATTGTGTTCCTGCTGCACCTCCAGAAGAAGTGAGTGTAAAGTTTTAATAATCTTTATATTAATCTTTGCAAATCGCTTCACGATGAATGCGTCTAAGGTTTACACTCAGGGGACATTATGTACATTTTATATGTACGACGTTCTCAATATAATTCATAATCCCACGTTTATAATGAACAACGCGTTATGGTTATTGTCAAACTGAGTACGTATACATCAGTAAACACATAGCGTTCGTTCATCTCACTAAGTTACTCTGTTTTCTTACAATACTAATGAGAATTTTTAATTAAAGTATATTACAAAGTTTTCATTTAGACCCCAAAGAATCAAATTAACTTGTATGAAAATGGCATTATGACCCCTTTAACAACCGCTTTTGGTGAAGCACTGGCTGATCACGCGATCGCAACGCAAAGTTGATTCTGCACTAATTTGATCTGGCTGCATATTAAACAGCCTTATGGGTTAACCATCAACTGACCGTAAGAAGTTTAACCAATTAATAGCCTACTGTTGTTTGCTGCATGCTTAAAAATACACTAAAACTATTTAGGGCCCAAGCCCAAAGGGCGAAGGCCCTATTGTTTTCCTTAGGATTATTTATTATTAGGGCCCAAGCCTTGAAAAGGCGAAGGCCCTATTGTTTTCCTTAGGATTATTTTTTTTTTTTTTTTTTTTCTCTTTTATTTTTCTTACGACTATTCGGGCACTTTTGGGGCTCTTAACGTGCACGAAAACTCTTGAAACTTTGCACGCGGGTCAGAACCCGCGGCCATCAGGGTCGGGGTGAAGATGGTACCCGGGCGTGGCAGGGGGGCTCGACAGCGCCCCCTGGAACGGGGTCCGAAAACTTGGTCCATAAATCAAACACGCTTGTATGTAAGAATATGAAACTCGGTACACATATAGATCTCATCGGTTCATATATACTTCACACTCTTACTTTTTACCCCAGCCCAACAGGAAGTCGGCTATTTAGGGTTGTTTGTAAAACGCATGCAATGGAATTTAAAGTACTTCTCCTAGAGAATTCAAAGAAATGCCTCGAAACTCGGTCAGCATGAAGTCAAGACATTGAGGATGAAAAATTGCGAGGGGATTTTTGATATCTCGAACGGTTTGGCCGTGGCGGGGAAACGAAATTATGGCGAGAAACGTGAAACAGGAAGTGTGTTATATTTTCTGCATACATTAACTGATCTTGATGAAACTTCACCAGTGTGTTCGCTGTAAGAGGCCGATCACATGGATGTGACTATTGTGAGTCAAAGTTATAGCGCCACCAACTGGCAGCAGGAAGTGTGTCACTTTCAAAATGCTTCGAAATCACCCTCTTATTTTAACCCAATTTGCTTCAAACTTCATCTGTATAATGTAAACATACGCCAGATGTAGACCTGTGAATGGATTCTTGATATCTTTGATACTGTTGCCGTGGCAACACATCAAACTTTAAAATTCTTTTTTGATGCTTTTGAGACTCTTAGCATGCTTGAAATTGCATGAAACTCGACAGACATGTCACATATATTAGCCAGTAGACATGTGCAAAGTTTCAGGAACGGGCGTGGTGCAGGGACTCAGTAGCGCCACCTTTTGACAAAAGTGAGAGGGTTAGTTTCATAGTTTTACCTGCAATCTTAAAACTCGGTAGGCATATTGTTCAGATCAAGCCGGACAACTTTCTAATTTACAGTTTTTGGTTCCGAACAACAGGAAGTCAGATATTTTGGTTTGAATGGGATGTTTTGGAGTAATCTCTGTCCCTCTCTCCCTCTCTCTGCATACCTCTGTGTCTGTGGGGGGAGGGGGATGTGTCTGTTTGAGTGACAAAGCTTTTAATTATTGTTGATCAAGGTTTCGGGGGCTTTTGGGGCCCTTAACATCCTCTAAAACTCTTGAAACTTTGCACACGGGTCAGAACCCGTGGCCATCAGGGCCGGACTGAAGCTGGTACCCGGGCGTGGCAGGGCGGACCGACAGCGCCCCCTGGACTGGGATTCGAACACTTGTCCATAAATCAAAGACACTTGCATGTAATAATATGAAACTGTGTACACTTATAGATCTCATTGGGTTAAACAACTTTCGTGCTCTAAGTTTTACGACATCCCAACAGGAAGCCGGCTATCATGGTTTGTTTGGAAACGCATACCCCTGAAATTCTATTTAATTCTCCTTGGGAATTGATCGGATTTCAAGCAAACTCGGTCAGCATGACGTCAAGACATTGATGATGCTAAATTCCGGAGGGATTTTTGATATCTCGAACGGTTTGGCCGTGGCGAGGAAATTAATTTTATGACTAAAAAAGGACACATAAAGTGTGTTATAACTTTGCTCGTTTTACCTACAGTTACAAAACTTGCCACGCATATTGTTCTCATCAAGCCAATCGACTTTCTAATTTAAAGTCATTAGCTCAGAGCAACAGAAAGTCAGATATTGTAGTTTGAATGGATTTCTTGTCCCCCTGCCATTCTGTTTGTGTGTGTGTCTGTGTGGGGAGGGGAGCAGAGGGGAGGGGAGGGAGGGAGGGTTGGTGTCTGTGTTTATGTGTGTGTGTGTGTGTGTGTGTGGCTGGCTGTATGATTTTTCCTGCATTAAAGGATAAAGAAATCTCTAAGTCCTTGTCTTTTCGCATAACAATTTTTGTATTTTTTTTTAAATGACAAAATATGCATCACTCCTCTTAAGTGGTTTATTTTATTCCCACCAAACTTTTTCAACATGATGAAAATACATTAAAGAAGCATAATTGTGAATATCTATTGAATATCTCTAATTGTTTTGCTATGGCGAGGGATTAAAGTCATGTAAAAAAAAAAAAAAAACACTAAAAGCTTCATATCTTCTAAAAATGTAATTATACACCATTTATTTCTAGATAAAATTATACAAATATCAGAACTAAACCCATTTTATTCTTGTTTTCAATTTAAGAATAATGTACAAGTTTAAAAACAGCCAGGATGCACTATTCAGTTAAAAAATAAATATATCAAATAATACATAGGGCTATACTGCCCTCTTGTGTTCAAAATCAGGTAGGCCTGTTGTATTTAAATATAGGTAGCTGCTATGTGACTCCGAGAATTTTTTCTCACCGGTTATTTGACGTGTAACACCGGGGGCTTTTATATCGCTAAGTTAAAAGTGAAAGTAAAGTAAGGACATTTATAGTGGTGGCGCTCGCAGTGCGCTCGAATGAATTTCTATGGAAGTAGAAATGAAAAAACGTTCGCTCTGTTTTGCTCGCTCGTCGCCATGGATGCGCACTGTAATGAATGCCACTGCAGCCGCATACTTTTTAGTGTCACTTTAAAATTAGTGCAATATCGGGGGCCAATTGCTTGAATTGTGAGTTCAATAGTCTATTATTTTTCACGGAAAACACAACAACAAAAGAGTACAATGACAGATTCGCTTAAATAGGCGCTTTTACATAAAATAGCCTATTCCGTCATCATCTTTTCAGTCAGCTCTTCACTCTCGTGATTAATGAAATTTATTGCTGATATTTGCTGCAACTTTCGTTCCGCTCACAATTTAGTAAGCAAACACGCTTCAAATGTGTTTTTATTTTATTTTTGTGTATATATATGTGTGTGTATATATATATATATAGCTTATGTTTCAAATATGAGTTAATTAACAATCGTTTGAAAGAATGATACTTTTAAACATATCACTAAACCATCATTAGGTGTCGCCAGGCGACCGTCTTAATGAGCGAGTCATTGATTCATTTGTTCGAACGATTCGTTCGAACGGCTGAGTCATTCATGAATGAGACAGATTATGGATTGGTCATTGAATCTTTGAGTCAACCGATTCGTTCAAAATGCTGAATCATTCAGTAATGAGAACGCGTTGCTGTGAGATGCTCGATGGTTCTGCTGTGATCTTTGTTTAACTATTTTCGCTGCTGAAACAGAAAAAAGTCAATATTGCATCTAAAATGTAAGTGATTTGACTTGTGTGTGTCTGTGTCTGTGTCTGTGTCTGTGTGTGTGTGTGTGTGTGTGTGTGTGTGTATGATTGTGTCTGTTACAGTGATTGTTTAACCCTTGTTAAAGT